TTGCTTGGTAGGACTATAGGCACGCCAGGACGCTTCGCCACTGCTTGAGAGAGGGAGCGGTGGGCGGAAGGGCGGCAGAGAGGAAGGAGGGAACCCTGCCAGCGCCCCTGACACTAGGGCGCCCCCCCCCCGGTGGCCTCGCGGCGCACGAAGGCCTGGCCGTTCTCGTCGAGGCTGCTCCTCGGGAGAGGTCGGCAGGGGCGCCCCACCCCCTGGGCCGTTCCTCCTCCGCCGGCTCCCCATCCTCCGCCTCCTCCATCCGCTCCTGCTCCTCGTCCTCCTCCCCCTGCTCCATCTGCTCGTCCTCCTCTTCCTCCTCCTCCTCCTCCTCTTCCTTCTCCTCCTTCTCCTCCTGCTCACCCCCTCCTCCTCCTCCTCCTCCTCCTCCTCCTCCTCCTCCTCCTCCTCCCCCTCCCCCCTCCCCCTCCCCCTCCTCCTCCCCCTCCTCGTCCTCCTCCTCCCCCTCCACCACCCGCTCCTGCTCATCAATCTGCTCCTTTTCCTCCGCCTCCTCTTACTCCTCCGGCGGCCCCAGTCCTTTTCTTTATACTTAGCGCTTCCCTGTCGCACCCCGAGACGTGTCAGTAGGACGGGCCAGACGGGCCGCCCGAGACGTCCTCACCACCTATGACCCTTACGCTGAGATGGTGTGAGGGCTTCACAGATGGAGGGCGGGCCGTTTTCAGAATGTGCCTCTCGCCGAGCGCCGCGAACAGTCCTCTTAATCCTTTTGCAGAAGCTCCATGGGTGGAGGGCGTCTTGTTTCGAGACGTGGCTCGTGATTTAGCGCCGCGGCCATTCTTCCTAAAAGTTCGCACGAGCTTCCAGGATCGAGGGCTGGTCGTTTTCAAAGTGTGGCTCTCGTCTTAGCGCCACGCGCACTCGTCTGAAACATGTGTGCAAGAGCTTCACGGATGAGGGGCGTGTCGTTTTCAAAATGCCGCTTGAGGAGGAGGAGGAGGAGAAGGAGGAGGAGGAGGCGGAGGAGGAGGAGAGACGAGGTCCCCGTGCGCCCGCTGGCCTAGGCCTCCCAACGCAAGCTCAGAACCGTCGAAGAGAACGAGAAGGAGGGGGGGCGCGAGGCAGGAGGACCAGGGACGGGGCGGGGCTAGGGGCTTCTGGGGGCCAGGAGTTGTGGCAGATTCTTGGGGGGGGGTCCTGGGGGTAGAGGCTCTGACAAATTCTGAATGGGGGAGCGTGGGGGAGGAGGAAGAGGAGACGAGAGCACAGGTGGGGAAGCCATCCGACGAGCTCCACGGGCGGGTCGCTCGTGGCCTGGCCGTGCAGCGAGGCGGAGGTGGAGGAGCAGGGTGAGCAAATGCGAGGAGGGGGGCGAACGCTGACACACCTGGCCCGAGCCCGACAGCGCCGGACGGGTCAGGCTGCCGCCTGAACCCCCGCTTCCGCAGCACCAGAAGAGAGCGGAAGGCCCGCCAGTCGGGCGCTGCGTTGCGTGATGGGGGGGGACAATCAGCGGAGGGGTGAAGAAGGTGCACATGGCCGCAGCCTGGGTCCGATGGATGCCCCGGCCCTGCTAAGCAACCTAAACGGGGAACGTCTATGTTTATCAATCGCCAAGGCGTCCAGCGCATCTCGGCGCAGTCGGAATACCTATCTCGAGTTCCAACGGGCTTTCTGGTGAAAGAGCAAATGAGATTGCCCATCACGTAGACAACTCGCGGGAGATTCAGTGCAGACTGTACTAGGCTTCCATTCATCGCAAGTGCAGGGTCCTCAGGTCAAAAGCCTCGTCTCCTGCTCTGGCATGATCCCCGCCTCGAGCTCCTCGCGCTGGGCAGAGCCCCCTGTTCTCGATGCGCCGTGTAATCAGGAATGTTCGTGGCATCACCGACCGCAGCGGCGTGTGCACAAGGGTATTCGGCACCAGTGCGTCTGGCGCATCCTCGATATCGTGCTCAAGCCAGCGCACGTCCACCTGACAATGACAGGGACAACTGCGGGCATGTCTCCACGAAAGGCGAAGGAACCCTTCGTCGTCACAATCTGCCCGAACACACAGACAACACTCACTACGTCGCCGCCGACCTGACCTGAGGCTCCCCTTCGTGTACCAGCACCGCCGTCAACCGCGACGACATCTTGTTGCCGATGTGGAGGAGCTGAGTGTAGACTACCTCCTCAAAGTCACGCATCCTTGTCTTGCATTGCTTCGGCTGCTAAATCTGACCTGTGCGCAGCAGTCCGCTTCGCGTGGTATGACGTGGCGGCATGCCGCTCATTGGCACCAGCCGCTGCGCATAACGAGCGCCATCAGGTGAGGCGGCCGCTTGCGTCTTCGCAAGCTAGCCCAGGCGCTTGGTCAACGCCCAGCAGCAGCATTGCCGAAGGATGGCACCCGATCGGGTGTCTCGGCGTCCTTGTGCACGTGCCGCCAGGAAGCCACGTTCCAGACGTGCTATCCCGTGCCAGTGCCCTTGTCAGGAACTTTACAGCGTGGCAGCGTCACGAAAGGACCGTCGTAGCGCCATCGTGGAGCATGCTCTTCAGCGGAGGACGATGAGCTACGTTGTGCACTACCTCGAGCACCCCTCAAGCATGACACCGCGAAACAGCTGAGAGCCGCGTCTGGCGGACCCGCGACACCTGGACCGGCAGCGACCCCTGCGCGACGCAGAAGGGCAGCCGACGCCGCCTGTGACCGTGCAGCAAGAGTGCCGACCCCCATCCCCATTGGCGCGGGCCGGGACCCTCACGGCGCTCAGAGCAGAAGGAAGGCCACCAGCACAGTCCTGGTGGGACTTCTGCCTTCTGCGCTGGGCGCAGCTGTAGCACTGCGGCAGCAGCGGCACAGCGGCAGCAGCGGCGAAGCACCTGCCATGGAGCTCCGCACTGCCGCCAGCGAGCTCGGGATCGCGGTCCCGCATCCCTTCCAGAATTGTTTCTCCTACCTTCGTATCTTTCTCAACCGTTCTCCCTCCCTTCCCCCTCACATCCGCCCATGCAAAGCATCGGAATCTTAGCTGGAATCGGTCAGAAGAGATAATCGGAAACGTTGGGTCGAAAACGACATCGGCACGCGCGACTCAGTTCCAATTTGAAATCGAAATCCTGGGAAGGGACCTGGACTGGAACCATAACCGGCAACGGGGCATCGAAATCGGATCGGATCGGAATCGGGCACGGAACTGCCACGTTTATGGTATATCACCCGGACATGGTGACCGCACCGGCAAAGCTGCCTGGCCTCGGGCCAAAATGGCTACCTACAGAAGAGCAGGGCGAAGACGACGATGAGGAGAAGCCAACCTCCAAGGGGAGGTACCCGCGACGGGAAGGGCAATGCGAGGTCAACGCGGTTGCTGCTCTTATGTTCAAGGGCGGACGGGGTGGCTGGGCTCCAAAGGCGCTCGAGGGCCTTCTCCATCACCGAGGGCTTGCCCATCATCGTCTTCAGCATGCGCTCCACATTCTCCCAGAGCCAGGACCAGGAGACCTCGTGGTTGGAATTCCAGTCCTTGGGCACCAGGGAGCGCAGGGACGCAAGCATGACCGCCTTGTACTCAGAAAGGTTCACGGTGCCCTTGTACTTCGCGATGCGCAGCGACAGCACGTCGCACTCCTCCTGCAGGCGGTACGAGTTAGAGACGTTCGTCACGATAGTGTCGAAAGATGCGAGGACCTCGTTCATCCATACATTCTGGCCAAAGCCCATGACAGCTGCATTGAACGCGAACATCTCGTTGTAAGTGGTCGGCACAGACGTGTTTCTGAAACTACTGCTGTCTGCATCGGCCGATTCCTTATTCCCCTTCCCAGTACCCACGTGAACCCCGTTGCCATCTTGGCCGCCGCCGCCGCTGGCGAACCACCCTCTTTTCTTCTTCTTCTGCCTGGCCTTCTCCTTCTCAGCCGCAGCCTCCTTCTTAGCCTTCTCCTCGGCGCGGATGGCCTCCGCTGAAGCGTTGCCCAGGGTCACCTCCTCCTTGCCCTCACCCTCACGCTCCGCGCCCTCAGCTTCCTCCTCCTGCTGCATCGCCTCGACGTCATCCACCTTGTTGTTGGCGGTTGCCCAGCTCGAGGCCAGGATCTTGAGACGATCGGTGTACTTCACGCGGACGTAGATGTTCGGGTGCGCCAAAGATGGGTGCCAGGGAGCGGGGGGTTCGAACATCATGGTCCAAGGTAGGTGCGCGGACAAGGGGGGGCACCGCAAGCGTCTTGAACGAAGAAGTGACCGTGCAATCTGGAAGAAGTCATGGGCCCCAGCATGATATCCGCCCCCTTGTCCTCACGCCCCTCCTCGGTGCGTGGTGGTTGTCGGGCCCAAGCTCGGGCCCGCGACGGCTGTTTGCGCAGCCCAGGCGCTCTCGGAAGGTTCTCGGCGAGTAGGCGCAGCTGCTGGAGAGCACTCCGAAGCTGGAAAACATGCAAGAGCCAACGAAAGAACCAACAAACCTCCGACACACCCGCACACACACACACAGACACTGTTTGGCGGCCACGGCCTCGCGCGCATCGAACGAGACGGAGAAAAGGTACCGATTTGGCGGGCGACCCCCCCCCCTCCACACACACGAACACACACACACACAAACACACACACACACACACACACACACACAAACACACACACACACACAAACACACACACACACACACAAACACACACACACACACGCACGCACACACACACACACATAGACACACACACAGACACACACACATACACACAAGCACACACACAGACACACACACACATACACAAACACACACACACACACAAACATACACACACACGCACGCACGCACACACGCACACACGCACGTTTGAGCGCCCGCGGGCGGGGCAAGACGCCGCACGGCCGAACGAAGTGATCTGAGCAAGGGGGACACACACACACACAAACACACAAACACAAGCTTGGCGTCGCGGCCACGTGCGCGGCGACGCGGCGTAGGGCAAGTCAAGCGGGCGCGCGCGGGCCGGGCCAGCTCACGCAGCGTGGAGAAGCTGGATCAACCCATAGGGGATCAACAGCAGCACTCGCGAGGGGGCAGTCGCGAGGGGAGTGAAGAAGGGGGAGGAAGGGGAAAAGGAGGAAAAGGGCGCACACACACAAACACACACACAAACACACAAACAAACTCCTTGTCCTCGCCCCCATCTTCGGCGCTCCCGAGATGTATGCGCCCCCCACGTAGTTCAACATCGTGTCCCAGCCAGCGTGCGCTGTGCGGGTGAGCTGCCCGCCGAGCTCGACCTGCAGCAGGTCGACGATCGCGTCGCGGAACATGACGACGCGCGGTACGGTTACCTCGAGGTCCAACGACGACGACGACGACAACCACCACCACCACCACCACCACGACCACGACCTCGACCATGACCGCGACCGCGACGGCGGCGGCGGCTGCGACGACGACGTCGACGACGACGACGATGACGACGGCGGCGGCGGCGGGTCACCTCGAGGTCCAGGTGCTGGAAACCGAGCGTCTCGACCACCACCTTCAGAGGGCCTCCACTTCCTCCTCCTCCTCCTCTCCCGGTGGCACGGCGCTGGAGGCCTGGATGCCTGGATCCCCCCCCCCCTTCCTCCCTCTTCCTCGCCCCCCTCCTCCCACTCCTCCTCCCCCCTTCCCCCCCCCCTCGCCCGCCTCCTCCTCGCCTCGACCAGCACCCTCAGATGGCAAGGCTTCTGGACCCCGCGATCTGGGCGCTGCAGCCCGATCCGCGCCGGGCGTTCTCGCCCGATTTTTCCGGGCCTCGGGACGCATCCGGGTCGAGGCATGCCGCAGGAACATTGGGCCCAGGGCCCCGGGCGTGGTTTTCGTTCCCGCAGTTGCACATTTCTGCTCCGTCGGATCTCACGGGGTGCTGCTGATGATGATACTAACGATGATACTAACGATGGTGATGATGATGATGATGATGATGATGATGATGATGATGATGATGATGATGATGATGATGCCGATGATGATAATGATGGTGATGATGCTGATGATGATGCTGATAATGATGCTTATGGCGATGATGATGGTGATGATGATGGTAAAGAAGAAGAAGGTGGTGGTGATGATGATGCTGAAGATTGGGGATGGTGAAGGTGCAGATGTCGGCGTTGATGCTAATTGAATGCTGATGCTAATGTTCATGTTGGTATGATGATGGTGGTGGTGATGGTGGTGAGTATGGTGGTGGTGATGATGCTGATGCCAATGCCGATGCCGGTGCCGGTGCTGGTGCTGGTGCTGGTGCTGATGCTGCTGATGATGGAGGTGCTGATGGAGACTGTGGTGGCGATGATGATGATGATGCTGATGCTGATGATGATGATGAGACTGATGCTGCTGCTGACGCTGACGCTGATGGTTATGCTGACGAGGACGGCGTTGATGATGATGATGATGACGATGACGATGATGGTGATGATGATGGTGGTTGTGGTGATGATGATGCTGAAGAAGGTGCAGATGTCGGCGTTGATGCTAATTGGATGCTGATGCTAATGTTCATGCTGGTATGATGAGTGCGGGGGTGATGGTGGTGAGTATGGTGGTGGTGATGATGCTGATGCCGATGCTGATGCTGGTGCTGATGCAGATGCGGATGCTGATGCTGCTGGAGATGCTGATGGAGACTGTGGTGGCGATGATGATGATGCTGATGATGATGATGATGATGAGACTGATGCTGCTGCTGACGCTGACGCTGATGATTATGCTGACGAGGACGGCGTTGATGATGATGACGATGATGCTGATGATGATGATGATGATGATGGTGGTTGTGGTGATGATGATCCTGATGATGATGAAGATGGTGTTGATGATGATTGTGGTGAGAATGGTGAACATGATGGTGATGATAAGGATAGTGATGAGGATGAGGATGAGGATGATGAGGAGGTGGTTGCTGATGATGCATAGGTTGCTACGTCGGATTTCAGCAGGAGGTGCTGCAAGCCGAATGTCTCGACCACCACCTCTGAACACCTGGGCCGGCCGCCTGCGCGCGCCGCGCTGCGCGAAGCCCAGAGCGCGGCTACCCCCCCCGCGCTCTCGCCCCGCCCGCTGGAGAACGAGCAGCCCTCCGCGCTCTCGAACGAGCAGCCAATGACCGCGAGGCGCGCAGCGCAGGCATTTTCTGCACCCCCGTGGGTGGACTGACGACGACGACGACGACGACGACGACGACGACGACGACGACGACGACGACGACGACGGCGCGCCCTGAGAAAGCTGGCCGGCTGCCTCGCATGCGCTTCTGCCCCAGACGCCATCCTGCTCCACCACCTGCAGGCATCGGCCTCCTCGTGCTCCTCCTTCCCATCCTCACCCGCCCACCCCCCGCCCTAACCCCCACGAGAGCGACCGCCAAGAGAGCCGGCGCGAGTGTGCCTTTCTCGACCTCTCCGGGCCTTCATCGCCTTGGGGTCACCCAGCTGGCTGATGATCTGGTTCAGGCCGTTCATGAACCGCATGGCCATCACAGCGCGCGGCGTCTTGAACAGGCCCTGCAAGCTGGGCGCCGAGTCGAAGATGGCGGCGTAGATGGCCTCGCGTGCAATCTACTACATTCGATTTGGCACGGAGCCCTAACCAAGGTCGAGCATGGGAACAAGTACCAGTCGGTCGGAAGAAGTGGAGATAAACATGAAGAAGGAAGGCGCTGGAAGTAGATTCAGCTTCCGCCCACCCCCTGAAGATGAGGGAGGAGGGAAGGCGTTGGGAGTTGATTGGGGTCTGGATGCCCAAAAGTACGTACTTTCAACGACCGGCGTCTACGCGTGGCCCCTGACCAGGAAGAGAAGGCCACGGCCCGAGAGGAGGCAGGCCAGTGGTGGCCGGGTGAGGGGGGCCACGAACGAGCACGAGCTCGGTCTTCTTCCCAGCTCTTCGCAGGTCGGGAGGCCATCTAAGTGCGACCCTGCCTCCATCCCTCTCCCATCTCTCTCGCCGTCCCTGCTCCAGCTGGCCCTGTCCTGCCCCACCTGCCAGGACTCCCACCTTCCCCACCCTCTGCATCGCCCCCACCTTGTCCATTTCGGGTACAGCATCGCTCTCCCTGGCGAAGACTGTCCACGGAGATTCACGAACGGCTCTGCGTGCTGATCTCAAGGGTCGGTAAACAGTACACGACAATCAACGTCATGGCTGCTCATACAACGACGCCAATTAATTATCTCAGTGCGACCCTACCTAGGAGTTGGAGCCCCTAGGAAAGCAGCATTAGTATTAACAGTTACGCTAAGCTAAAGCTAAGCTAAAGCTAAGCTAAAGCTAAGCTAAAGCTAAGCTAAAACTAAGCTAAAGCTAAAACTAAGCTAAAGCTAAGCTAAAGCTAAGCTAAAGCTAAGCTAAAGCTAAGCTAAAGCTAAGCTAAAGCTAAGAGAAAGCTAAGCTAAAGTTAAGCTAAAGTTAAACTAAAGCTAAGCTAAAGCTAAAGCTAAAGCTGAAGCTAGAGCAAAAGCTCCCAGGGGACTGGGGGAACCGCTCCCAGGGGACTGGGGGAACCGCCCGGGCGGGTTACACTGCCCGGCCCCTTTAAGCGAAGAGAGTAAGAACCCTTCAAGGCAGAGCCTAGGTAGGGGGAAAAAACATACGCAAGGTGACATCTCTAGCGCAGACGCTTCTGCATGAAATGCGGAGCTTCACCCTCCTCACCCTCGTGATATGTCACTTCCTCTCATTCCTCCTTTCTCTCTAGTTCCCCCCACTCTCACGCTCCTTGATTCCCCCTCGTCCTACCGATGATTCTCGTCGTCCAGCTTTCGGGCCCAAACTCGGGTCTCGGGTAGCCGTTCGGGACGAGCCAGACGCCCCTGGGCCTCTCTCGGCGAGGCGCAGCTGCTGGAGGGCACCCAGAGCAAGGAAAACAGCAGAGAACCGACGGAACGTCCAAATCGGGCCGGGCGAAAGGGGGGGATAGCAAAGGGGGGGGTGAGAATCAGCTCACGTAGCTGATTTTCCCGGCGCCTCTCGGCGCCGGAGGCGCCCATGTATCGAGGAACGGGCCCCTCGGTGGGGCCGAAACCAGCTGCATGCAGCAGATTTCGTAACCCCCCCTTTCCCAATCCCCCCCTTTCGCCCGGCCCGACCAAAGCCTTCTGACCTCGAAGCTCGAGCCCGTCGCCCCAGAGCCTATTCCCCCCCGACGCTGCCCCGGACCTCCTCCCCCTGCTGCCCACACGCCTTGCCGAACAGGACCCGACTTGAGCCGGGCCGCGCAGACGGCTCTGAGCCTCCTGCCTCTGGGACTGAGCAGGATCAGGGGGACTCGGAAATACCCGACGAGGTCGTCAAAAAAATGACGATGCCGAGCCTGCATTTTGACGAGGCCTCCAGCTGCAGACATCCCACGAAACTCCTCCTCGTCAAAATCCGCGGCGCGGTCGTCAGCGAACCCGAGTCCTGGCAAACCCGGGTCTTACGCTCCCCCGACAGGACAGCGCAGTCGGCTCGCGGGTGCGATGCCACACCGTGCATCGACAAAATGTCGCACCGCTTTTGCTGTTCATTGGCACCCGTACTGCATTGCCCTTTCCCCCCCCCTTCCCCCCGATCTTAATATTGGTTGCATAGCGAAGAGCCCCTGTTCCGCCCGGGGGCTCCCGACAAAATGTTGCACCACCGAGCTGTTTCGACCAACCCGGACCGAACCCAATATTAAGATCGGGGGGGGGGGAACGAACGATTGATATAAATTGATATAACAGCGATGCGAGTTATTGTCAGCGCCAGGTGGTGCAACATTCTGTCGATGTACCGTATGGCCCCTGGCGGCGTGCGCTCGAGTCGGTCCGCGACCCTCGACCCTAGATCCCGGAGTCCTGGCCTGCATCTCGCAACATGCAAACACTGCCGTGCTTGCAGCGAAGCTCCACGGCACGCCTGCGGCAGCCAGAACATCCCTGCGTGACTGGGCTCGCGGGCGGCTGGGGAAAAGCCGAGGACGCTACCGTCGGGCCCAAATCACCGCACCACCATCACCACCTTCGCGGGGGACGATCGAGGGGAGATGCTGGGGGAGGACTTTGGGACTGGTGGCGGTACGTATCGAGACGCTTGCAGGTGTTCTCTGCACCAGGGTGGCAGAAGTACCTGGAGGGTGGCCACACGTCCGCTCGTGTGGCGACACCCCCGCGGGCGTGAGGCTATTGCGTACCTACGAATTGGCGGGCTCTAGGAACCCTGACTTAAAGACATGCTTGCCAGCGTGGATCCCGAACAGGAAGTGGATGCACTGTTGATCTCTATGCGAGGTGATTAAAGCCACGTGGTGTAAGTCAGCTGGTGCAATCTATGCTGTGTAAGCTAGCTACGTGTGCGGTGCACGCTAGATCATGCAGGCTAAGTGATGCAAACCATGCGGTGGAAGCTCCGTGGTGTGAGTTGCGTGGTGCAGGCAGTGCCCGTGCCATCTCCGTGGAGCAGGCTGTGTGGTGTCGGTCCTGTGGCTGCAAGGTTGCGTCGTGCGAACTGTGTGGTCAAGACTATGCCGTGCAGTGCATGCGGCCGCCCAGCACACACGCGCCGCCCACGAGGCCGACCACGGGCGGGCATCAGGCGAAACCTCCGCATGCGGCCGCCCAGCGCCCGAGGCACCCACGAGGCCCACCACGAGGCCGGCACCAGGCGGCACCTCGGCACGCCCGCCCAGCGCACGAGGCGCCCACGAGGCGCACCAGGGGCTGGCGCGGGCGGCCACCGAGCGAGACGTCGGCACGCCCAGCACGAGGAGCCCACGAGGCGCCCACGGGTGTGCACCGAGCGGGCAACCGGGCGAGACCTGGGCACACCGCAACTGGGGCCGGGGGCCGAGCTCCTGCACGGTGCGAAGCGCGCGAGGGGTGCGCCGAAGTGCGCGGAGAAGCTCACCAGACTGTCCGGCTGGGGTCGTGGGCGGGACTCGCGTGGAGGGCGGTGCCGAAACGGGCGCGGAGGTGCACAGGCAAAGTGAGGCCGCAGCTGGAGCACCCCATTGGGAACGCCAGCCTCGCGAGGGGGTGCGCCGGAACTGGCGGCACCGCCCTGCGGACCTGCCCACGGGGCCGCAGGTGGAGCTCCGCAGCGCACCATGGCGCCGCAGTGCTCGTGAGGGGCGTGCCGAAATGCGGGCGGCGGCGCCCTGCGTCGGTGCCCACGGCACCGTAATTAGGCGGAACTCTCTGCGGGGCCAGGGTCCTCGCAATGGGTGCCCGAAGTGGGCGGCGCCACCAGGTGGGCTGGGCCGCTCGGGCCGCAGGCCGAGCTCCGTCTGGGGCCATGAACTTTTGTCAGGGGTGCGCCGGAATGGACGGCGCCGCCATGCGGACCCTCTCGCCGGGGTCGCACGTGAAACTCCGCATGGGGCCACGATCCTCGTGATGCCGTGCCGATGGGGCCGTCGGTGGAGCTCCCTGTGGGGCCACGATCGTACTGCGGGGCGCGTTGAAGTGGACGGCGCCAACATGCGGACCCTGTCACCGGGACCGTAGGTAGAGCTCCTTATGGGGTAGCGGTCCTCGTGAGAGGTGTGCCGACAGGGAGGCGGTGGCGCGAGAAGTCGGTGCCCGCTGAGACCGCGGGTGAATCTCATGGGGCCACGATCCTCGGGACGGGTGTACCGAAATAGGGGCGGTGGCGTCATGCGTTGGCGCTCACTGTGACTGTGAGTGGAGCTCCCTATGTCCTCCTTCGATGCCTTCGATGCGGCGAGAGGGCCCTCCAAACGAGTCTGCCTTCCTAACCACCCACGCCGTCCCGCCGCCCAAGCACAGGCACTGCCTCAGAAGACGAACGTGAAAGCGGGCTCAAACACGCAAACGCTATCGAACCCACCTTCAACCACATACAATCGCGTGCGTCCCTGACCAAGAAGTGGAAGCACGTGTTTCGCCACGTGCAATCAGGCGCGTCCCTGAGCAAGAAGTGGAAGCCGAGCTACATCTTCACCACACAATTTGACATGTCCTGAACCAAACCAAAGGAAAACGGATACATTTGGCACCAAGCTCTTCACGAACCGTTGACGTGAGGAGGAGGAGGAGGAGGAGGAGGAGGAGGAGGAGGAGGAGGAGGAGAGGAGGGAGAGGAGGAGGAGGAGGAGGAGGACGAGCCCAGGACGGGTCGCGCGACCGCAGCACGAGGACAAAAACTGGCAGCACAATGCACAGGCCCAGGGGTCTTGAGAGAAACGGCCGTGGCGGCCATTTTGGCCAAGGGCGAGATCCCCGAGGGGGGACGGCCTTGAGCCAAAATGGCTGCGGACTTACTTCCCCATGTCCTCCTCCTCCTCCTCCTCCTCCTCCTCCTCCTCCTCCTCCTTCCCCTGCTCCTCCTCATCATATCCCTCCTCCTCCTGCGTAGGAGCCTCGCCGGCAGCCTCGCGCGACTCCGCGGAACGGAGGAAGGTGTTCCTGCCGCACGGGGAGCGGCGCTTGGCACGTTTGGCGGGCGCCGAGGCTCGGGGGCCAGGAGGGCGGGAAGCGGGTAAGCTGAGGGAGGAGGGGGGAGGGAGAATGAGGAGGAGGCAGGAGACAGGGAGGAGGCAGAAGGCAGGAGAAGGAGGCAGGAGGAGGAGGAGGAGGACCAGTGTAAACCCAACAATCATCAACGATGTTGGTATCAACCCTCGCTCCAAGCTCTCTCTTCGTAGGCCTCTACAACGGTTCATTTCCATTGAGGGAACTGCCCCGTTGGAGAACAACCGTTTGAAGACCTCGCATGTCAAAGCGTTGTTTTCGGGATTCCCACGCCACGTATCAACCTGACTGCTTATTCCTCACGATCTGGAATCGTGCCAGAACGCCATTCTTGGGACTTCAACACCGCGCATCAACATAACTGCTGCACCCACATAATCCGGAATCCTTCCAAAACACCATTTCTGGTACGTTGGTCATGGGAACCCGTGATATTCTTACAAATGTTTAAAACGAATGTGCGCGGCGTGGTGGCGAGAGCCACATGTTGAAAAGGACCGCCCTCAATCCGTGAAGCTCTTGCAACTGTTTGCAACAAATGCGCGCGGCGCTAAAGAAAGCCACGCGTTGAAGAGCCACCCTCAATCTGTGAAACTCTTGCACCTTTTCAGAACGAATCTGCGCAGCGCCAGGGCGAGAGCCGTATGTTGAAAACGACCCGCCCTGAACAAGTGAAACTCCTGCACATGTTTGAAACGGATGTGCGCGGCGCTGCGGCGAGACCCACATGTTGAAAACCACCCGCCCTGAATCCGTGAAGCTCTTGCAAATTGTTCAAACGAATGTGCGTGGCGCTGGGCTGGGCCAAGAGCCACATGTTGAAAACGACCGGCCCTCCATTTGTGAAACTGCTGCAAAAAAATAAAACGAATGTGCGCGGCGCTGAGGCGAGAACCACATGTTGAAAACCACCCGCCCTGAATCCGTGAAGCTGCTGCAAAGTTTTAAAACAAATGCGCGCGGCGCTAAGGCGAGAGCCACAATTTGAAAACGACCCGCCCTTCACATGTGAAACTGCTGAAATTTGCTAAGTTTCAGAATCATGAATGGTGGGGGAGTCTCAGGCGAAACGCACGACCCGCCCTAAAAACTGGCCTCGGAGTGCGACAGGGAGAAGTTATTTATAAGGCAAACGAATGGAGGAGAAGGATGAGGAGGAGGAAGAGGAGGCGGAGAAAGAGGAGGAGGAGGAGGAGAAGGAAGCAAGAGGCAAGGATGAGGGGGGGAGGAGACAGGGAGGAGCAGGACAAGAAGGCGCAGAGGAGGCAGGGAGGAGACAGGGAGAAGGCAGGGTGGATGAGGAAGAGGAGGAGGAGGAAGAGGAGCAGGAGGAGGACCAGTGGAAACCCAAGAAACATCAACGATCAAGGAATGAACCCTCCCTCCAAACTCCCTCTCCATAGGCCCCTACAACGGCTCATTTCCTTTAAGGGAACTGCCTCGCTGGAACACAACCGTTTGAAGATCCTGAAGCGTGCCAAAACATGGTTCTCGGTTATACACGCCACGTATCAACCTGACAACTGCGTCTTGACGATCCAGAATCGTGCCAAACCGCCATGCTTGGGACTTCAACACAACGAATCAACAGAAACGCTGCGCCCGCATATCCAGGAACCCTTCCAAAAAAAACATGTGCGGTACGTTGACCATGGGAACCCGTGAAACTCTTGCATACTGTGAAAACGAATGTGCACGGCGCTCAACCGAAGACCACATGTTGAACAGGACCCACCCTCAATCCATGAAATTTCTACAGATTGATCAAACGAATGTGCGCGGAACTGAAGCGAGAACAACATTCTGAAAACCATCCGCCCCCAATCTGTGAAACTCTTGAAGAGTTTGAAAACGAATGCGCGCGGCGCTGAAGCGAGAGCCACATGTTGAAAACGACCCGCCCTCAATCCGCGAAGCTCTTACGAACAGTTGAAACGAATCTGCGCGGCGCTAAGCCGAGAACCACATGTTGAGAACGACCAGCCCTCAATCCGTGAAGCCCTTGTACATGTTTAAAACGAATGCACGCGGCACTGAGGCGAGAGCCACATTTTGAAAACGACCCGCCCTCCATCTGCGAAACTGTTCACAATATGTAAGCTGAAGAATCATGAGCGGTGAGGAAGTCTCAGACGAATCGCCCGGCCCTCCCTGAAAACTATCCGCGGGGTGTGACAGGGAGCAGTTATCTACAAGGAGAAGGAAACGGGGGAGGAAGGGGAAGGAGGAGGAGGATGAGGAAGAAGAGGAGAAGGAGGAGGAGCAGGAAGAGGGAGGAGGAGTCGGAGTCGGAGATGGATGCTTCGGCAGCTGTCAGCTATCGGTCGCTCGATGGCTTGGCGTTCGCTTTGCGACACGAGCCAAGTGTTGCTGGCGCGTTAAATCGGCGGATCGACTGGGTCGCCCACGGGACCCGTGGTTTTTCAGCCTTTTGGCCGTCCATCGAACCAAACATGTTATGGAACTCCAAACGTTTAGGGCCTGTTGGCCAATCACCTCTGGCTCGGGATACTCCGCGCAGCTCGAATCGAGCTAGTGCTACAACGATTTGTTCCCCCCGCCCACTGCCCAACACCCCAACCTCCCCCCTCCCCATGCACGCCTCGTGTTAGCCGTGAGGTAGGCACTGGCGTTTCCTGGGAGCCTGCGCCCCAGGGAGGGAAAAGAAAAGAAACCGAAACCCCTGCGCCCCGCGGAAGCCAAAGGAAAACGAGCGGCGCGCGGCCGAGAAACACGGAATATACCCAGGAACGGGCACCGAGGGGACAAAGAAACCATCGGCATCTGCTTCTTCGCCAGTGCTTATGTTTACACTATGGAAAATGAACTCATTCGTCATGGCTCACTGCTGTCGGTGCCTCCAATCCTCCTCAGCAGTTCTCTGGCTCTCTGACTGCCTGATCTCGCTAGCTGTCGAAGGCCTGCGAGCTCTATCCCTCCGGCAGCTGCTGCCTGGCTCTGAGGGCGGCTTGGATCTGCCTCTTCAGGCCTGACGGCGGGGGCGCTCCGAAGATCTGCTGCGCTCCTGCTGCCCGCAGCGCGTCGACGACGGCCCTCCTGATGTCCGCGATCTGAGTGCCCTGCTGGAGCTTGATGGGAAGTTCCGGGTATCCTTCGCGGATTGCATTGATATGGTCCTCCCTGTGCTTGGCCTCAGGGCTGCTGGCTAAGCTGTTGAACATCAGGTGCAGCTTCCAGCGCTCTGGCTGCCCCTGCTCCGCGTAGGCCTTCTTGACATTGCAGTAGCTCAGAATGTCCCCGAAATTCTGCATGTCTATGACGTCGATGAGAGACAACGACAACCTCGGTGAGGGTGAGGCCCGCCGCGATACCCGGATCGAAGGTGACCCCAGCCTGGTCGTTGCAGTCGATTAGCACAGAAGAACAGCAGCAGGGGGAGGGGGAGGAGGAGGAGGGGAGGAGGAGGAAGAGGAGGCAGCCATGGGCTGGGGTACACGTACGTGCGGCCGTGGGCCGCCATCACCACTCGAGCCACTGCGGCGGCTGGGCCAGCCGGGGCACTTCTGCTTCCAGAGCGTCGACATGCGGCTGGTGTCGCCGCGGTGCTCGCAGAGGTAGCACTCCCAGTACTCGTCAGCGAGGTTCAGGCCGAAGATGTGGAAGCCACACACGGCCGCGCACCTGCTCCGGTGCACGGCACCGGACCAACATATGAGCCGCAGCCGGGCTGCAGCAGCGTCGTCAGCAGACCGAGCATGAGCCCGCGCGCCCGGGCCGCCGGCGCGGGGCGGCGGGCGGCCACTGAGGCAGCAGGGATTCAGGTACGACACGTGGCCAGCGTCGGGGAGCACGAGGCCGCGGCCGTCGCGGCGCGCGCGGGCCTTGTTCGCAACGGAGTGCTGCTCAGCGCCCTCGCGCCTGCTCTCAACGTGAAGCCCCGCAAGTGTGACTGCGTCAGTGGGCGGGTCTGTGCCGAGATCGAGGATCACAGACAGCGCATCGCCCGCAGGCATGTGGTCAAGGACGACCACAGCTGGCGCTCCTCCGACGACTGCCGCGAAGGGCTGGTCCATCTGCGAGCGCGCTCGGCGCACTGATGGAATGCGAAAGAATTGCTCCAACTGGTGCACCGTGGCAGGACAGCGCACGCGCGGGCGCATGGCGAGAGAATGCGACGCGTCCTTCTGCGCACAGCCGTGCATTCGCCACGCGGTCGAAAAGCGCCGGGGCGGCGCCAAGAAACCAACTGCATACTTCTGCAGGATGCACAGCGCGGCCTGGGAAAGCATGCTCTTCTGCTTGAGGGACTGCTGGGCCACGTTGACGGGCGGGGCCAAGTCGGGCAAGTGCCGCGCGCGGTCCACCAGGACCGGGAGCCGCGCGCGGGTCTCAAGCTCGAAAAGCACTGCTAGCTCGACGCAGCTGACCTGCCCGAATCCAGGGTCGGGAGGCGAGTTGCACGGGGCCGGCCAGGCCAAGGTGCCCCACCACTTCAGCAGACGATCATAAAATACCCGGCCGTGGGGGAGCTGCGCGTGCGTCAACCCAGCTGGCAGGGTAGCGTTCACGTTGGACCAGGAGAAAGTCCCGCCCCACACCATGCGATGCTGAGGTGGGAGGTCGTCCGTGGCATCGGTAGCAGGTGGCGGAGGCTCTGCTGCTTCCGCGGCCTCCGCTGCCTCACTCTGCTGGTCCAGCATGCGGTCCTGCGCGCCGAGGAGGAAAGTCTGCACCCGGCGCGCTGCGGCAGCGCGGCGCTCCACAGCAGATCGGGCCTCATCCCGGCGAGGTTCATGATGCCGACGGCCACGATGAGCAGACCAGTCGGCAAGATCGTTCCCCACGCGGCGGTGCGCCTCGAATGAGCTCTGCACCTTGGACGGGCCAACGTGGCCCTTCACCTTCTACACGACCACGGCGCGGCCGGGGCGCGCCCGGAGGGCTGCGTCAAACCGCTTCCACAAGTCACCATTCGGACGGGTGGCATACGGCCAAGGAAGGCCACGGCCACCTGCAGCGATCCGGAGGATGGCCTCCGAGACGACGCTCTTGTTGCCAATGAAGACACGGAGGGGCTGTGCGACATTCTCAACCAAGAGGACCAGGGGGGGAAGCTCCGCCCTCGTCATGGTCTGCACCAGGCCCGGCAGCGGGGTGGCGCACCGTCTCCACTGGGTTGCGCCAGACGGGGTTGCCTGTCGCCACACGATTCCAGACCCAGCGACCCTCCAGCGGGTCATCTGATGGGTCAGCCGCGCCATCCGAGAAGAAGTCCTGGAAGTCATCCGTCTCGCCACTGATTGGCAGCGAAGCCCGCTCGTCAGGGAGGGGCTGGGACAGGCCGAAAGTGGCAAGCGGCAGGTCGGGCACAGCAGGCGCCAGCAGCTCTGGCACGGAGGACCGGAGGTCGTCGAGCAGGGAGCATCTGATGCACCTGTGCTCGTAAGAGTCCTCTTCCGCACCACACGAACAAAGATAATCGCCCTCATGATTGATCCGTGCGACGTCAGCGTTGGTGTAGACCAGGCCCGTCAAGACAGGACCGCCGTCAGGCCAGGCGCCCGCGGGCCACGTCGCCCGAGCGCGGTGGCAACGTCGATGCGGCCGAGCGTGGTCAGCTGCTTCCGGATGTGGGCCTTCAGGGAGCACCAGTCGATAGTAGCCTCCTTGATCTGGATGCCCACTTCCTGCTGGCAGCACTCGAGCATGTGGGCCCGCACGGAGCCGCAGGGATCGATCAAGCGCCAATCCGATCGCAGGACCCAACCGGCCTCCGCCCAGGCCTCCCGGAGGAGCTGTAACGGGAGGGTGGCCGGCAAGTCGACCCCTCCGTTGCGAGCCACAAGAATGCGAGTCGCCCTGTCAGTGGCAGCCGGATCAGAACGAGAGAGAAGGGATCTCAAGCTCTGCACACGGCGCCGAAGAAAAGCCTCGAAGACAATCGTGGTGGCCCGGGAGCCCGCGAGGAGGCATGTCAAGTAAGAATTACGTCTGCAATGCTTGCTACCCCGAGGTGTAAGAACCTGGGCCGCAGAGGTGATCAAGTCGTGGAGGGTGGCGCTGCGAGACACGTGGGAAGCCCCCGCACCCCGCGCGGCACCAGCGAGGGCGCCTGGAGCGATCATGGCCACCTTGAGAGGCCAGGGCACTGCAGAGCGAGCAAGACGGGAAAGACATTCCCGCGCCGCTTGAGCCCTGTCCACGACCGTTGGGGCGCACCGGGAGCGGCCGTAGTTAAGGTGTGCTCCAAGTTCACGGGCGTGTGAAAGGTGCTGCGCGACTGTCCCGTCTCGGGCAGTGCATCGGGCCGCGCGGCGGGCTCGGCGACGCGCAGGGTCCGGGCCTGCAGCCCACGCCCAACAAGCACTCGGTTTGAGACTCAGGTCCCAATGAGCGCAACAAATCATCCAAGCAGGCAAAAGTAAAAGGAACCTCAACCGCATCGCGGCACAGCCACTGCACATTATCTGCCCAACTCATGATAGAAGCTGAGAGATTGCGGGAGGTAGCCATCATGCGGAACACAAGCGTCGCAATGATGGAGGCGAACACTGACAAGGCACCCCCCTGAGGGTACCCCGTGGTGGTGGACCTGGGCCGGCCCAAGCCTCCGCCGACCTGGAAGAAAAGAACCGTGCCGGACAAGTGCGCATTCCAAGCCTGCACGAAACTCACCGGGATGCCTAAGCACACACAGGCGTGCGCGACGACCTCACGCGGGAGGCGGTCGAAGAACTGAATGACATCCGCGGTGGCTCCGGCAATGCTGACACCGTCGAGCCAGGCAGCCTCAATCTCAAAAGCGACTTCAAAATAACAACCCATGGGCTCCCGGCCTTTGAGGCCGCCCTTCATGCCAGCAGGCAGAAAGGGCGCCATGGCCCAGGCCAAGAGACGGCGGGCGACCGCGCTGGACCAAGCTCGATAGACGACGCTCAGGACAGCTATGGGCCGGAGATCGGCAGCAGTCAGAGCGGTTTCGTGCTTGGGGATCAGCGAGATGGCACAGAGAAGCAGCAGCTGGGGCCACTCACGCGCGCGGACGAAGATCGCAAAGAGGTCAAGAAGAACCCTCGCATAGCTGTCCAGGAGCCTGGACAGCTCGCGTGGCCGCCAGCCGCGCGCCGAGATGGCAGTCCGAGGGGCCATGCGCCGGCACGAGTCGCGGAACTCGGCAACGGTGAGGGCGAGGTCCAAGCCCTCATGGGGGCCACACCTCGCCGCAATGAAATCCTTAGCCGCCGTCCAATCTTCAACGCCGTTGTGGCGACAGTTGATTGGATGCCAGTGGCTCCAGATCGTATCGTCGATTTGGTTCACTATTGTCATCCAGTGGCCGTCGTCGCCTCGCAGCATGGTGGCTGCAGGGGGCATGGGCGGACGGGTGGCCTGCCAGCACAGCCGGGTGCTGTATTTGGCGTCTGCGGCCAGAGCTGCCCGGTAGTCTCGGGACCGGCCAGCTTTGATCTGGCGCCAGAGAGCACCGAGGAAAGATTGCGAAGCAAGAATGAGAGCCTCCAGAAAATCGGAGGCATCCGCATCGCAGGGGAAGAGACTCGGCAATGGGTTGTCAGGTGAGCGGGCGTCCCACCAAGCATGGAAGGACGCCCCAAAACCACCCGCAAGCCTGATTGACTGCCAAAACTCCTGGCGGGCGGGGTCCGCATGCCGCAGGGCGCCGTTAATCGCGCGCCCGCGGGTGCCCCGAGCAGAAGACAGTCTGCGCAACTGTTTCACGACCAAACGGGTCTGAACAGTGTTCGGCGAATCATTGGCGAAGGCGTCGCGGCCAGGGCGCGCGCGCTGCTCGCGCTGGCGCTGCATCGCCGCGCGCCTCGCACGGCCGCGGCCGAGGTGACGCCCGGGCACGGAATCGTCGCCAAGGGCCTCGACCGGGCAAGACTCCGCGGCAACGCTCCAAGAAGCAAAAGCCGAATCAACCGACACAGCAGCAACAACAGCGACTTCCTCATCAAAATCGGCCGGGCCCTCCGCAGGAGCGCGCGGGAGGTCTTCGGAGGGCGCGGGCAATGGCAACGCGATCGGCAACCGCCACCGCGGCAAGTGTGGGCGAAGACAAGCCCAATCGAAATTAACAATGAAGGGCTTGTGGCCAACCCAATCCAAAACCCGCGCGGCGGACAGCGCTCGCGCGGCCACAGGGTTGGCCCGCAGCTGGTCGATCCGGGTGGCGGAGTCACCCTTCACGCGGGCCACCTCTGGCGAGGTCCCCGCCCGGGCGGCGAGGGCGGCAGCCGCGTCCACCCAGCCTCGGAGCCCGGCGAGAGAACAAGCAAAACTGCCCGCAGGCTCGACATTGAAGTCGCCTGCGATCACACACGGGCCACCGTAGGCCTCAGCGGCCGCGAAAGCAGCGTCGAGAAGCTGCTCCGTGTTATTTTGACTGTGGGTCCCCATGCACAGTCTGGACGAAAGCCGCCACGCGCGGTGCGACGCGGATGACGCCGGCCGCGAGCCGACCGCAGGACGCGATACCCGGGGGGCAATCAGGTGAGATGCTGACCAATGGGAGCTTGGGGGCAACCTGGCCGGCAAGGCTAAGTGAAACGTTCCGTCCCTGTTGGGAAACACGTCTATGGCCCGGACGGGCAAAGACGGCCCCGCCGCGACTACGAGACCGCCACGAACGTTCACGAGCGCCAGAAGGAACATCCAAAGTTTCTGAAACCATTAAAAAGTTGGCTCTGGCAAGCGGCGAGCATGGCATCACCTTGCGCAGGATTTAAACCATCAGGGTTGATGACAGCAATATCAAAACTGTTTCCGTGAAGGGCATGGAATAACGACGCCCAGCTTGGACAAGCAAAACCGGGGCAAATATGCGCCGCCTGAAGCCCCGCCAACAGGTGCAAGTAGCGGGCCAGCCCCGGGAGGCGAAGCCGCCCGCCGCGCCTTCAGCTCGTCCGCTGGGCCTTGGACGCGTGCTCAACCTTGTTGTTCAACTCTCCCATCTGCGTGGTCATGCTTGTTTGAAACTCTCCGAAACTCTTCGGGAAAGTGTCCTGGAAGTTTTTCATCGCTGTTTCAATCGACTTCTGGCTCTCGGCGATCTTCTCATCGATCTTCTGGTCCTGCGCCGCCGAGCGAGCATCAGACTGGGCGCTCTGCGCGTCCAGGCGTTTAGCCAGCGCGTCAAGACTACTCGTGAGTGCGTCAAAACGCGCCTCCAGAGGCCCCGGGCCGGGAGAAGCAATGGGGTTGCCGCCAGCGGAATTGCCCTGGGACCATGGGTCTCTTCCGTTAGCCCAGGGGTCAGACTGCGAACTCTCCAACACAGGGCGGCGCACGCCAGTGTGGTCGCCATTGCGGTCCTTAGGGGGCCAGAGGCGGACCGTGGCTCCGATGCCGACGAGAGGCATGACGACCGCCGTCTTATCGGACGACCACTCTGGAGGATCATTCAAGGCCTCAGCTCGGAAGCATCCGGTGCCGCCGCGAAGCCAAGTCCCCTGGGGAGGGAAGCCAACTTTGATTTTCCAGCCGTCGGCATTGGGACCTGGGCCGACCCAATTGCCAGCCGCCAGCTGGAGCTGTTGGCGGCTCGCGCCCGGGTCAAGGCCCTCGACAACCCAGGAGCTGCGACCGACGCATGACACATCAGCGGTCGCCGGAGTGTCAGGGTGAACAAAATTATATGCCGCCTCAAATTTGGCGGCGGGGACGCGGCGCCCCATGCCTTTGGGGGGCCGCGCCGCGCCAGCAAAACTCTTCAGGCTGGCCTGGTTGAGCGCAAAATCAAGCCGACCTGGGCCGTCCGCGTCTGGCCCTGCTCCGACGGGGAGCCAGACGACGCGGTGAGTCGGAAGCTCCCCAGGGGCAGTCAACCTATGAATGAAAATGCCTTTTCTGCCCGCCGGCACTGGCAATGTGGTCGGCGCCCCCCGGGCGCGCGCGCGTGCGGAGCTTAACGGCGCGACCGGTTTTTTGCTCGACATCTGACTGGACAGGCACCCGCCCAAGGGTCAAGAATGCGATCCCCGGCTCCAGGCACTGGCACACACGAGCAGGAAGCAGAAAGGAGTGAGGCTGGCGAGAAGCGGTCTCCCGAATGTCGGGGGACAGGCACGCGCGAGAGCGACTTGTCGCC